TTGTCACCTATATTTTCACATAATATGAAGATTTCTTCATGCCAATAAATGTATTTCTACTACATTCTTCTTGAGCGCGCCATTGTATACTATCTTATATCTATACAACATTTATTTAACAAATCCTCTATTCTTGGACATTTGTGGTATGTTTCTCCAATTGTTCTTCTTGGCATGCTGTTTGCTAGGTATATGCCAAGTCTGCTCACCTTCCTTGCCTTCTTAAGAATGCCAACAGGAGAACAAGCTGCCCTAAGTAATTCTTACAAGAGCCTCTGTCTGATGGCAAGCAGAATGCTACCCACCTTGAGGAGTGAATCAGAATTAAACTTTCCTGGCCATTAAAAGAAAAGCATAAACTCAATCCCAGGGCCTGAAAGAAATTAGGCCTGGCCTAAAGTCACCAAGATGACAGCCAGCTGAAAAAAGACAAAAAAACATGGCCTGGCCACTGGGCTTTCTGCTATGAGCTGCATCATCACTGTGGCGCTAACAACTATAGACAGGCTGAATAAAGCTGAGCACTCACCTCTGTTAACTGACTCTCACCCGTGTAGTGAAGGCTGGCCCGGTTGGAGACCCCGTGCAAGTGGTCCAGGGTGTGCATGCTCGTGGGGAGATTGCCGTTGCAAAGAGGCTCCATCGCTGGCTGCTGTATTGGAGTGGCAAAGTCAATGTGTTCTGTGATGCTGAAAAATGGAGATTGCCACATTAGCCATGGAAAACCTGAGTGGGTAGGGAGCAAGAGTATGAATAATCAGCTGATCGTAACTTCACTACGTTACTAGGACTGTCTGGAACCACAGACTCACAGACTGAAGAGACCTCAGAAGTGATCTAGTCTGATCTCTCATTTTACAGGTGCAAGGATCCAGTGCCTGGCAATAACTGTTTGTTGAATGTATGAGCAGAGATCATACCCCAGGTCAAAGGAGCAGGAATCTGAGTCCTGAACTCAGTGATTTCCTGGTCCACTCAAGCTGCCTCCTTTCTATGCACCATGGTGTCTGGTTTGGTCACTGCCATTGGCCACTTTTTCTCACTGGGGAAGTTTTGAACCTGGCAGGTTTTATTCTAGGATTTCTTTTTTCAGGGAAAAATTTCTTTTTCAGTGATAAATACCCACAAGTGGTTCCTATCTTTTACTTTCCCTTTATGCACAGAAGCCCACCCCACAGAAAAAGTGACCTCAAGTTTAGACAGTACATTTTAAACAGATGTAGCTGGTCAATATATCTATGCATAAGATGTTAACTCCCTTTTGTAGTCCCAAAGTGGTCATTTTCCTGCTATATGCAGGCTAAATGTTATACACTACCATATATGCTGATATGGCAAACGGGCATGGTCAAATTTTATTTCTAACTATTTAAAGCGCTCATATATATTAAGCAAACATCCATTCATTATTTATTCAGAGCCTACTACATGTCACACACCAGAGCTATAATAACTAACAAGACATACCCAATCCCTGCTGTTATGGTGCTTGTGGTCTTGTGAGTGACTAAGTTATTACAGATGTTATAAAAGAGGAAAACAAGGTACAATGTCAGTACACTATGGGGGGGTATATATGAGGAAGAGGGTGTTAGTGAAGGGTTCCCTGAGAAGTAAGATTTAAGTCAAGACCAGAAGGATGAGTGTAAACAAACCAGGTGGGAAAAAGGTGGTGAGAACATCACCGCACGCAAAGGGACACCGGTGTGAAGGGCCCGACAGGAGGGAGGGTGGTGAGGATGGAAAGACACGTAGCAGCAGATCACGAAGGGCTTTGTGGACCACAGTAAAGAGCAATAAGAAGTTATTAGAGCATTTTAAGAATTATTTGACTTGTATTTGAGGAAGGAGTCTGAGTACTGTAGGGAGAAGGGGCAGAATAGAGTCAAGAGTGAATAAAGCATGCGGCCCAGCTAGGAGGCTACTGAGTGAATGGAAATGGAGATGATGGGGATCTGGTTTAAGGGGGCAGCAATGGAGACGGAGAAGAGCTGACGGCTTTGAAACATACTCAGAGGGTGGATGGGGTAAGAATGGGTAACAGACCAGATCTGAGTATCTAAGGGAAAGGGATCATTAAGGACGACTCCCAGGTTTCTGGCCAAAGCCCTGCTAGAGCTATCTACTAAGAATAAGAAACAGGGGCGCCTGGGTGGCTCAGTCGTTAAGCATCTGCCTTCGGCTCAGGTCATGATCCCAGGGTCCTGGGATCGAGCCCCACATCCAGCTCCTGGCTCAGCGGGGAGCCTGATTCTCCCTCTGCCTCTCTCCCTGCTTGTGCTCTCTCTCTCTCTCTGTATCTCTGTGTCTTGAATGAATAAATAAAATCTTAAAAAAAAATTTTTTTTTAAATAAAAAAGAAACAGAAAACACACAGAACAATGATTTTTTGGAAGGACAGTGGACAAGAAAATTATGAGTTTGGTTTTCCTGAGCTTGAGGTGTCTCACAGGTATTGAGGCAGGGAGGCCAGGTAGGTAACCGGACAGATGGGTTGAGGAATTTGAAGAAAAATCTGACTTGGAGATTTGAATTTGAGAGCTGTCAATATATTGGTGGTGACAGACGTTCTGGGAGTACATCAGTCTGACTAGGAGGGATTCTAAGATAAGAAGGCTGAGAGGTAAATCTTGGGGAACTCCAACACTTAAAGGGTAGAAAGGAGCCAGCAAAAGAGAATGAGCATTCAGGGAGGAAAAAGTTATCAGAGGGGCAGCCTTGCTCAGCTGGTGTCTTGGTGGGTGTTTGTAAACATGGATATGCTCTGGCTCCCTTTTTAAGTACACAATGTTAGTGATAAACCACAGGTGTTTCTATAAAGAGGGATCCAGTCTTCCACTCTAAGTAAGTCACACACTTCAGGAGAGCTTACAGAGTGCGGGGAAAGGCACTAAGAAGGCAAGGCACATTCGCTGTTTCAGTACAATGGGCTGTGCCCACCTGTGGCCTGTGGTCAGCAATGGTCATCCTCGGAACCACCAAGCCTAAAAAGGCCGAGTCTTCTAATAGCTGCTGACAAAGAAGGGCATCCCTGAAGTCAGCGGAGGCCCAACGGGTTCGCTGGAACACAAAGGCCATGAAGGAGGGAGAGGTTTAAGATACTCACTCAATGTTTTTTGAAGAAACTGCAAGCCAGGTACTCACGATGGCAGTCAGCTCTACCCAGCGGAGTTTGAGGCACTCGTCTGGGCTGGGCCATCCCAGACTCTGGTAGTCACGCTTTTTTCCTAGAAGGAAAGTATGTCATCAATGGACATAACTGCAAAGGAAGAGAACCCACAGTGTCCTAGGTGCTGGTGATTACTTCACCCAGGCTGGTGTGTTTGGAGGTTCCAGTCATTCTTCTAGTCTTTAGGATTTTTATCATCTAGAGAATTAAACTCTTGTCATTCACAGCAAAGGCAGTAAGATTATCTGAGTAAAGTCTTAGACTCAAAGACAGATGATGAAGTAAAAATAAATGAGTCCATTGGATTTAAGACTGATCAACATAAGAGAAGAGCTAAGATATTCTTCAATGTTAACATCTTACCAAATTTCATTTTTACCCCTCTCCATTTTGATTTTATAAAGATAACTCCAACTTAGGAAAAGCATTTATGGCTAAAGCAAGGTTTCTCATCCTGGCAGTACTGATGTCGTGGGCTGGAGGATGCTTTGTCGTGGGGGCTGTCCTGTGCATTGGAGGATGTTTAGCAACATTCCTGGCTTCTACCATAGAACCAGTAGCACCCTCCCCCAGATGTGACAACCAAAGTGTGCCCTGGGAAGACAAAATTACTCCTGGTAGAGAACCATTGTTGTAGAGAAAAGCAGCAGATGGGGAATAATGGTGATAACGAAAGGTTATCATTTATGTCCAGAGCACTTACTGTGTGTTCAGGTCCTGTGCTAAGTGCTTTACATCCACAGACTCATTTCTCAGATGGAAAAAAATCTCTCTTCTCAGAGAGATCAAATGACTTGCCCAAGGTCACCTGGCTAGTATATGGCAGAGCCAGGATCCAGATCCAGATCTGAGTCTAACAAGTATGCTTCTAATCACCATGCTATTTAAAGCTATATTGGGCTTCTAGCGCTCTGTTAATGGACACACTTCACAGTACTACCTTTTGTGTGTAGCCCTTCACTTAGATTGAGCCCCCAAGAAAAAAACAGAACTAAATCTTGTCTGGGAAGGGGTCTTCTGGAGGACTTACAATAGAATGAGTGGGCAGGAAGGAGAACTTTCGTTCTGTGTGACTTTTTTATAATGTAGGAATTTACCAATAACAGAAAACTGTTTGAGGTATAAGCAGGGCTTTAGATTTAAATAAAATAGAAAAGAACAGTTTGGAAGAGTTTCAAATAAACCCTGCTTATTTTTTATTTTATTATTTTATTTTTTAAGGTTTTATTTATTTATTTGACAGAGAGAGACACAGCGAGAGAGGAAACACAAGTAGGGGGAGTGGGAGAGGGAGAAGCAGGCTCCCCGCCGAGCAGGGAGCCCGATGCGGGGCTCGATCCCAGGACCCTGGGATCATGACCTGAGCCGAAGGTAGACACTTAATGACTGAGCCACCCAGGCACCCCAAATAAACCCTGTTTAAATGAATAACTGAAAGAATTAAACCGCAAGTTTAACAATAAAGCTTATTTTTCTATTATGTTTAAAGAAATTCACTTGAACAACATTTATTGAGCATCTATCATAAGGGCCTGGGAACTGTGTTGAGACACTAGGGATACAGAGGGGAATAATACAGAAGGGGCCTGCCCTTGAGTTCACAGTCTAGTGAGGAAGGTAATCATAAATCCTAGGATACAACAGGATGAGTGCCAGAGTGAAAGTATAGGACAACTGCACGGAGGTGAGAGCAACTAATTCTGCCTGAAGGTACTAAGGAAGGGAAGGCACGTAGAGTCTGAAGTTTAAGGATGAGTGATCTTTTAGCACTGCTGAGGTGGCAGGGGGGCATTCCAAGCAGAGGGAACAGCATGTGCAAAGGCAAGGGGTAAAATAAAAGCACGGCTGGTTCAGAAAAAATAACAGCATGAAGGCTAGAGACAGGCTGGGTGCTCGTACACCACACGAGGAAGTTTGGACTTCATGCTGTAGGCCATGGGGAGCCTCTGAGCCCACATCTCCCCATCTTGTTCACAGAGGAATATCCTAAGAGATTCTGTTAAATGCTTTGCTGAAATCTAGTTACATTGTGTTTATGGCACTTCTCTGGTCTTCCAGTCTGGTAGCCCTCGCCAAAAAAGGAAATGAAATTAGTTATGCATTATTAGTTTTACTAATTCTTAGTAAATCTACAGTGGTCCTTATTGATCTCCACTCTTCCCCATTGGCTTACAATCTATCTGTTTTATAATTTGCTTTAGAACTTTGTCAGGATTTATCATGAAGCTTATCTCTTGGTAGTGAAGAGAATCCAGATTTATTTGAAAACCAGGATACTGAACCTCTCTGGCCACCTGTCATTTCTTCCAAGCCTTAGAATTTTTCATATAGTGACAGTAAGTAGTTCCCTGATGTCATCTACAAGTACATGCAGTGCCCTCTGTGGGCCCACCCACTTGAATCCACTTAAAACCACTTAAGTGCTTTTCTAGAATCTCAAACCCTACCAAGCTTTAAATTTCACTTTTACAAGAAATTTTTAGTTTTTTGTTTGTAAAATAATATAGACTTATTATAAATTATTTAGAAAATGGAAAAGCATATAGAAGAAAATAAAAAATCACACATATCCCTATCAGCACCTAGAGATGACCACTTACATTTCGGTATATTCTCTTCTATACTTGTTTATTTTAGCTTCTTTCATCAAATCTAAGCAGTCATAAGCTGTAACGTGTACATTATTTTATATGGTGTAAGAAAGAAAAATACTGCCAATTATTGTGTAAAATATCATCATGTGTAAGATGTATCTCAATTGTAGAGATACGGAAATGTGAACAAGTGTAATCATAATACAGTATATTTACTATTTTACAAAAACTGAAGTATTCTACCTGCTATTTTATAAACTGCTTTTGTTCATTCACTAAATTATAAGCGTCTTGGCAGCACAGTACATAGCATGGACATTATGTAATTTATTTAGGCAATTACCAACATTTAGGTGGTTTAAAATTTTTTATTATGATAAGCGACCCCATGATCAATCTTTGCACTTCTGTCTTTGGCACCTATAAGATGATTTACCTAGGGTAAATTATTGGAAGTAAAATTGTTGGTATATTTTTAAATTTTCTGCTATATATGGTCAGACGATCCCAAAACTCATCTCATTAACTCTGTGTATTGCACATTTAAAGACAGTTTGAGAAGCAAAAATGGCATGTTGCTGTCTGTGTTTGCCTATCTTTGATTGCTAGGGAGGCTGAACATTTTGTCACATGTTCAGTGGCCAATTGTACGTGTGTATTTGACGAACGGCCTCTGTACTTGCACATATCCTACTGAAATGCTGTATTTTTCATACTGATTTGTAGGTGTTCTTATTTTTTTTTAAAGATTTTATTTAGTCGAGAGAGAGAGAAAAAGAGCGTGCTAGTGGGAGGGGAGGGGCAGAGGGAGAGGGAGAAGCAGACTCCCTGCCGACCGGGAAGCCCAAGGTGGGGCTCGATCCCAGGACCCTGAGATCATGACCTGAGCCGAAGTCAGTCACTCAACTGACTAAGCCACCCAGGTGTCCCTGTAGGTGTTCTTTAAAAGATACTGATAATCTGTGCTTATCACATAGTCTGTAGAAATATAAATATTCTTCAAAAATACTTCGTTTCAGTCCTTTGCCTTTCTATTTTATGGTGTTTTCTGGTGCCAGAGTTTTTCTTTTTCTCTCTGCCTTAGAAAGTCCTTTTCCACCTGGAAAGTATATAAATATTCATCTAAATTTTCTACTTTTATGATTTCATTACATTTACTATTTAATGAAATTTTCATTTCCATAATGATATTTTACATTTTGAATACCCTTTTCCTTGCTACAGAAGACAGACCTAGTAGAGGAAGTGTTGCTTTCTTTCTGGAACCTGTTAACACACGATGTCACCCTTAAACAGTAAAGCTACTGCATGCTGTCAAATCCGGTCATGACAAAATGTCCTTTTTGGTGCCCTTTGTATTTTTCACAAGTAACACTTCACTCCGGGATTTAACCAAACTGACCCCATTCTTTATATTTTATTATGTGCACCCTGCTTTCAGCTTTGGTAAGTACAACAAATTAAACAAGACATGTTTTCATGAATTTACCTTGAATTTTTGAAGTCTAAGATAGTGAAAATATCCTTTAAAAAAGAAAATTTTTTAAAAAGAAATTTGATCACCACTACTTCATTGCTAGGAAAAAAAGTCAACTGGGCCCTGAACCTGGAGTCCCAAGATGCACTCCAGGACAACTATGAACCCTAAAAGTACATGACATATTCTGATGTATATGCCTTTTTCCTGGGAGTCGTTCTAAAGCATTTATCCAATACTTAAAGAGATCTCTGACACATAAAATATTAAATGTTAATATTTATTGAGTCCTATGTGGCTAGTTCATTTAAAGCATTTTACATGTATAACTCCTATAGTCCTCACAACCACCCAATAAGATAGATATAATCATATTAAACTAGACTATCAAGAACCAATAGGATATTTAAGCTCAAGATGATAAGAATATAAGCCCAGGGGCGCCTGGGTGGCTCAGTCGTTAAGCGTCTGCCTTCGGCTCAGGTCATGATCCCAGGGTCCTGGGATTGAGCCCTGCATCGGGCTCCCTGCTCAGCAGGAAGCCTGCTTCTCCCTCTGCTGCTCCCCCTGCTTGTGTTCCCTCTCTCGCTATGTCTCTCTCTGGACTTGCAGGGGATACGAGTGCTGAAGAAGGGTCCCCAGGACGGAGTGGCCAGAAGCTCTTGCTACGGAGACTGCAGAAGTGAAGATGATGAAGCCACAGAATGGGTGAGAGTTTGCCAAGTCAAGTCTCTCTCTGGACTTGCAGGGGATACTAGTGCTGAAGAAGGGTCTTTTTTTGGGAAAAAATAAATAAATAAAATCCTAAAAAATAAATAAATAAAATAAAAGCAACTGTCCTTATTAAAAAAAAGAATATAAGCCTGATAGGCAATGGTAAAAAAGTCAAGTAATGTCACAACAAACTTTTTATACCAATGACTGTTTCCTCGTTCACTTAGCCCCATTACCTTCTCATCTGATCTCCTTCAAGTCACAAACATATCCTTAGTGAGAAATAAGACTGTGAAATCTGAAAAAAGAAACTGGCATATTAAATATTCAAATTTACCTTGTGGCCCAGGAGATGCCACCTTTGGGCCAGTGATCTCCAGGTTCGCTTGGTAACGCTGTACATTTTCTGCTTGATTCTGTTCTACCTTTTTCCCAGGAGTTTTCTTATGATCTCCTTTGGGTTTCTTGACACGTTTGACCTGGAATGTGATCTGGAAAATGGAAACATGTTGGGGACATATTAAACCAATTATCAAATCTGTAAAGGCTGTGGATATTGGTGGCTTTAAGAGTAACCCGTCCTCGGGGCGCCTGGGTGGCTGAACTGGTTAAGCTTCCGACAGGATCTCAGGGTTGTGAGATCAAGCTCTGTATCAGGCTTCACACTGAGCGAGGAACCTGCTTAAGATTCTCTCTCTCCCTCTGTCCCTCCCCACCCCACCCCCCTCTTGCACTCTCCTTCTTAAAAGAAAAAAGAGTAACCAGTCCTGTGCTAGAGCTTAGAGCTGATTCTCTCCTTCCGTTTAATTTTTACAGATCTCAGCGAAAAATGTTTAGTGAAATAAACAAAATAACCTAGCCTTGAAGGGTGTATACAGGAAAATGAAAATGAAGATGTCTGAACTGGGCAGCTGCAGGCATGCAGGCTTGGAGTGCAGCTCAACAGTCTTCTGCTTCTCCTGCCTCCTGGAAGAGCTAGCAATACAGACAGAAGTAAAGGGAAATGCTTCCTGCAGAACAAGGCCCACATGAAGACTGACCGGAGGGCGGAGTAAAGTGGTGCGACACCCCCAAGAGAAACATCACACTTTGCACCCCCACCAAGACCTGGGCTACAGTTTGGTGTGAACTGACTTGGCAAACTCTCACCCATTCTGTGGCTTCATCATCTTCACTTCTGCAGTCTCCGTAGCAAGAGCTTCTGGCCACTCCGTCCTGGGGACCCTTCTTCAGCACTCGTATCCCCTGCAAGTCCAGACGCCGCCCTTTCATCTCCAGGGCTCCCCCAAAGCCTTCCAGGGGCCATGCCTGTTGAAATTCGTCCACCAAAGCCAGTATCTCTTCAGACATTTTTGTTTCATCTGAATTCTCCATCTCCTCAGAACCATTGCTCTCCTCAACCACTGTACCTGAAATTAGAGCGCCCACATGTCATTAAAGATTACGTGGTACTGCGCTCGCTTCAGCAGCACACATCCTAAAAATTACGTAGTACTCACTCCAGTACTTGAGCGACTCCAACCTTGCTGTTTGAGCAGCTCTGGCTCTGCTTAGAGGAGATTTGATAGCCCACCCATAAAAATGCCACTCATCATCCTCAACATGCACAACGAAACATCCTCTTTGCTGCGTAGCTTTGTCAAAAGCTTGGATGGGGACAACAGGAGCAGCGAGGTGGCAAGCCAGCACTGAGTATACCACCAGTGAGCAGGGGGATGGCTATTTTATAAATGTACTTTTTTGGGGGAAAAAAAAGACCCACTTGCTTTAGATGTAAGACACAAATGGCAAAGATGAAATTTATTATGATGTTATTTACTGAATATGTGGGATTCTCGAAGCTTTCTTCAAGTAGCATATGACATATCAGAGCTGCGTGTCCAGGCCATACAGTCTGTTTTACCTGAACGATGATTTGTTTAATGGGAAGCTATCCTAATTCTACATTCAGGCTCCTATTTTCACTAATGGGTAGTATAAGAAATAGTGATGGAGCAGTGTAATGTTTTCCTAAAATGGTTATCAAGACATTATTTGTTATGTTGCTCAAGTTTCTTATGTAAAGACTTCCATGGATGCTTCCCAGTGCAATGGCCTAGAAAAATTCTTTCTCCTGAGAAGTCAGTGTTTCCATTGTTATACATTAAGGGTTACACATTCCTACAGGTTCCCCTCTATGCCTAGATAACTAGAACATTTAGGGCAGAAATTTCTGAGTTTCTTAATAGAATGCTTTCCTTTCTTAAAAAAAAAAAACAACTTTATTACTTAAACTTTTGCTATTTTGAATTAATGGCTGAATCTTATATTGTGTGTTCCATGTAAGTCATCTGCAATCTTTTCTGGAAGTAGGGTACAAAAACAAATAAAATAGAATACCTGCTTTTGTAATATGCATCCACTGGACAACCTGAGAGCTCGGGGTTGATTGCTCAGAAAATGCCAGTCTACATTATCCTGGTTAAGCCACCCCAATAACCTTCAGTTGGTAATTCTGGCTCGTTCAGTGATTTAGAACATGGTATTACTAAGGCCAAGGTCAGGAATCTCATTTCCGTATTGACCAGACCTATAACCATAGTGAGTAACCCACTTTAGAAAAGCAGAGTATTAGTCTGAAGAGGCGTGGGGTGAGAAAGATGGCTGACCATCAAGGCTTAAAGCAACATAAAGCTTTGAGCCCTACTCATAGAGTGTCACTCTTGGCTCTGGTGGCATCTCTATCTTCCAGCCCACTTTCTATTCCAGAAAGTGGGAAGGTCTGTTGTCAGGCTGGGAGTACCATTAGAAATCTGCTATTCCTTCTTGAAAAAGCTAGAAGGCTCCTCCATTTGTTAACAAGTGACTTTGAAATGTACCGTTGTCCTTTCAAGTAGGTTTCTTTTAGGTTTTTTGAATGAATCGGCTGGTTTTTCTTGATTATTATCATTATCATTATTATTAATGAAGTTCTGAGACAAGCATAAGGTAAAACGGGTTTGCAAAGGCATTTTCTTTAGGATATTCGGATAAAAATGGTTGGTTATTGCCCAAATTATGTGGCAAATAGTATAAATGTAGGGTTGACAAAGAGTTCTAATTTTCAGTTTCTATCTTACTACTACTATATCCTGAATGTCCAACATTGTACCTGACACTTCAGAGGCATGGTTGTAGAATGAGTTAATGGAACTCGGGAATAATTTGGTTTGTGAGGTTCTTGAGGATCTGCTGCTCCTACCTTTGCCTCGTCCTGCTGACGATTCAAGACTTTATAAACTCTAAGGTTTACCTTGTCATGTGTTAAAGGCAGGCATCATGTCTTTGACATAGTGTCTGGCATACTATATGATTTACAAATTTCTCAGTAGCTAACTCAGGAAAACACCTGGACAGGGTTGCTATGAGGACCCCAAAAAGCAACTTAATTAGAACAACTGCCTGCCGTCTGACTTGAGCAACAGAGTTCTAAGTATTCCTCATGTTATTTTAGCTTCCTCTCCTTCCTTCTCCTATGGCCACCATGGGCTTCCCTGCACCTAGTCTTGAGACAGGAAAGGGTTTTTGATAGATTTGGCTGCAGCCAAGAGTATGGGCTTAAAGAAAAGTGGCTTTTGGCCAAAGGTAGACTGCAGGTAACTAATTCCCCAGTGTATAGTTAGAGCTGCATATGGATGCTGTGTTTGGAAGTCTTATTTCCATTCAGTAACTACTACTATTTAGAAATCATTCTAAATAAAGTTGTTCAGTTGCAAAGAACTCTGCAAGCCAGTTCCAAAGGGTAATGCTCCCCTACGCCCAGACCATACGGTAATATATATATATCATTACTGAAAAGTTCTTAGAGAAAGGGCCTTTCATTGATGGAAACTGGTATTCCAATCAAGACAGACTATGGAACTTGCTGCAGGCTTTTGCTGCTGGCAGCCACTAGTCCCTTCAAAGGCTGTAGGGGTTGTGTAGTAGCAATTCCTAAAGAACAACACTACATAGGTAAGGAATGGGGAGACCATAAATGAGCTATGAGTTAGAAACAATAAACCAATCTTTATTTATTTAGAACCTACTATGTGCCTATCTCCATGCTATGAGCCATATAGGTGGGAAACAAAAAGAATCTGACTCTGAGGAATTAAATACAGTTCAACAACATGGGGGTTAGGGGTGCTGACCCCCACACAGTTAAAAATCCACGTATAGCTTTTGTTTCTCCAAAAACTTAGCTACTAATAGCCCACTGTTGACCAGAAGCCTTACCGATAATATAAACAGTCGATTAACACATATTTTATATGCTATAGGTATTATATACTATATTTTTATAATAAAGCAAGCTAAAAAATGTTCCTAAGAACATAATAAGAGAAGATAAAGTACTATATGGTATTTATAAAAAAAAATCTGCATATAAGTGGATGTGTGCAGTTCAAACCTGTATTGTTCAAGGATCAACTGTATAATCAAGGTGGAGACACAAAACTGTATACATTAAACAATCAGAGAACAATTACATTTAAATACTTTTTTTCTAGAGGAAAAGCATAATTGAGTGTGGTCACAACATGCTTCCTAGAGGAAGGCAGACTACTGAGGCAGGATTTAGACAGGCAGGCAGAGGGCCAGGGAGGGCACTCCCGAGAGGGAGGAGCTTGATCGTAAATACTCAAACCCATATGTACACACACTGATGCAGGCATAAGGAAGGCAATACGTGAAGGCACTACTAATTTCCCACGAACTAGGACAAAGAATGTATATAGATGGTATCAGCAAACAAGATACTTAGGGAAGGTGGGTGACATTGAGGATGTCTGGGAAAGTTGGGAGGAAGATTCATGTTCAAGGGAGCCTCCTGTTTGCTAAGCAGAAGAATAACAAGACGAGAGCCATAATGTGGCATATAAAGGCCAGAGTGGTAAATCAGCTGGCATACTCGGGGGTGGAGAAGGAAGACAGAGGACAGAGACCAGTTAGAAAGGTATTTCAACAATCTCTATATAAAGTTGTTTAAAGAGAAGCTGGCTTAGGGTGAGGGCTATAAAAGGGGAATTTTGAAAAGGGGAGAGAAAGAGGTACATGAAGAAATTTCAGTGGAGAAAAATAGAATTTGGTGGTTAAATGGATACAATGACAAAGAATAGGGTAAGTTCAAAGATAATTTCAAGATTTCGAAGCCTAATGTGAAACAGGGACCTTTTTACGATATGGAGTTTTAGAATCTGTGAAAATGAAAACAATGTTATCTACAAAGACTATGGAATTAGGAGAGGGCAAAAGGGCTTATCATGTTGGGATTTCAGACACTTATTAATTCATTTAAGCATTTGTTGTCTGTGTCCAAAAATGTGCTGAGGGCTTGTAATAGTCCAGGTTAGAATGGACAGAGGGACATATCTCCAGACACTGTCTAATTCTGGAAATACAGAATTCAGGTTTGGAAAGAGGTCTGGACTATAGCAGGATCACAGAAGGTTTTAGATTATACTTGAAGCAAGAAGAAAAAGTAAAATATTAGGATTGCTGCTTGTGGGACCAATGGTATAATATAAACTAAAAACAGAGAAACTGAGATCCCATATCTCTATTATTTTATCTTCTTTAACACATACCATTTTCACACTGGAAAAAGGAGAATAAATATTATGAAGTAAGGAGACTGTGAGCACCCACAGTGAGGCTTAGATGAGTTCGGGTTTTTTCACTTGGATGAATACTATCTCAGGATACTAGGAAAGCTTAGTTGAGTTTGAGCCATGTCAGATAATCTGTCAAGAATCACAGGGACTAGGAGAAGTGCTGAGAGACGGAGAGAGGTATATGTTGTCCTCAAAAAGAAAAAAAAAAAGTAGAAGAAGAAGAAGGGGAGGAGGAAGAAGAAGAAAAAGAAGTCCAACATAATCTTGTAATGTTCCAGACACATCTGGAGATTCATCGGTAAGTCTGGCACCGCAGTTTAAGAGATTTTCAAAGCAGAGCACATTGATAGAAACATGACTTGGTGAACGTGCCCAAAATCATATTAAATGAAGGACTGAAGATACCAAAGTGACCCCATGGAAGGAACAGTAGCTGACACAGTACACACAAAAAAAATCAGGCTTGAAAAATATTTACTAGAAAGATTTTTTCTTCTTTTTTTAAACATTTTCTTTATTTCATTTTTTGACAGAGACAGTGCAAGTGTGGGGTGAGGGGCAGAGGGAGAGGGAGAGAGTTCCAAGCAGACTCCATGCTGACTGGGGAGCCCGACATGGGGCTCAATCTCACGACGCTGAGATTGGGGCCCTGAGATCACGACCTGAGCAGAAATCAAGAGTCAGACGCTTAACCGACTGAGCCACCCAGGCGCCTGGAAAGATTTTTTTTTTTTTTAATTCTAGAAAGATTACTTCGAGATTGGTGAAGGTAACTGGAGTTGTTCAAGGAAATA